AAAATGTCAATGTAGGCGAATTTTCCTGGAGTTGATGTCTTGGGGACCCCACTCAAGTTTTGAAAGAGAAAGACAAATTCGTTGTCGCTTGTTTACGTCCTCCATAAAACGTGAAATTAGGGATTTTCACGTCGTAGTCGTGCAGTGACGACAAAGAAATGTACAAAAAAGTTTGCTGCACGTGGAAAGTTGTTGTTTTGCTAATCAAACCTATTGCTTTTTTGACGTTCTCGCTGCCGACGACGCCGTCGTTGCTAAAGCTCTTTACTACGTCCTGAACAGCTTTTCGTGTCGACAAGAAGAGCTCCCCGGTATAGCCGTGCAGATCTATATGGCCACCTACCACCGTGCCGCCCGGAGGTCCTGGATTACCGGGTGGACCCGGGGGTCCTTGGATACCCTGCCTTCCTCGGGGTCCTGCTGGACCCTATTGAAATAGAAAACAAGACAAAATTGGTATATCGGGTGTCGGAAAAGAAATAGGTGATGCTTAACTTTTTTATTTTGTGATTAAATTTTAATTAGAAATTGACATTTGTAGCGCAAAGAAGTTAGATTTCGTGACATTAGATTTCACATTAAAATAGACAAAGTCCGAGTATATTTACGATATAAAATGATGTAACTGCATGCATTTTCTTAGGCTAAATATGACGAAAGAACGTGCGATTTTGTAATAGACATAATAGCACGATTTTGTAATAGCATGATTTGTAGTGATATTTGGCATAAATACCACGGGTGATATTTCGAAATTGAAATAAATTTGAGACAATTTTGAAATATCACGAGTGGTATTTATGCCAAATATCACGTACAAATCATGCTATTATTTGTTTATACTACTACCCGCATAAGGTCTGTAATTTTTACAAATACCACTTCTCTAAGCCAATCAAATTGCAGAAATTTCTCATGTAGTAGTATGAGAATGGGAACTTTTACTGTACATTTGCCGGTAATGTAAAAATACTGCCTTATTCAAGGATAGTAGAAAAACCTCTCTATACTTACAATGTGTTAGTTGTGTTAAGATCGTTGAATATGTGAGAATTGTACAACGCAGTAGATTTTTGGATTGGATTAATTAATCGTGTTGTTTCATCGAAAGATACAGTCCTCTTGATTTGTTTGAACCAGCGAGCGGGGTTATAAGAATTCCGCAAAACTGGGTCGCATAGAACAAGAAACAAGCTATAAAGTGGGGGAGGGAGTAAAAATTGTTGCCTTTTCCTCCCCATCTTCGTTCATAGATGCATCCGTAGCAGGACATAACCCAACTGAACTTTCTACAGACGGACAAAGAAAATTTAAAGATTCAACTTGGTCTCGCTGCAACTTGTGATTGCTAATCCTGCTCTTGCCATAGTACATGCTAAACCAACCAGAGGCAAAACACAAATCAATCGCGACTTTCCATGCATCACGTCGTTTCCCGCGCTCAGTGAAGGCCCCCTACCGGTTTTTCCTTTAAGATCTGAACTGGTTCATTGAATTGTGCGTGTTTGTTATGAATGGCCAAGGTGATTACTCTGATTATAGGTTTACATCAATAAATTGCATATCACTGTACTCAAATTTACTTGACTTACCCTTGCTCCAATTTGTCCCCTTTTCCCTGGGGTACCGTTATATCCCGGGTCACCCGGTTCTCCTCGGGCTCCCGGGTCGCCTGGTTCTCCGTAAACAGTGATATCAACCTGTTTTCATTGAAAAAGATACAGCCCCAAATTGTGAAGTCTGTCAGACCCAGAACTCACAACTGAGTGAAAGAGGTGTTGTAGTAATAAGAGAATTTGAATTTTATTTGGTTAATGGATGGTATATTTTGGTATATTTGATTGGAAACGAGGCTCCTTGGGCGCGCAAATGTGAAACTAATCAGGCGTTCACAGCAATCCAAAGACGAAGTAGCTGAATGTTTTGCAAAAACTGAACGGAAGGAATGCAGAGATACGCAAAAATTGTATTGTTCGATGGGTGTTATCTACAAAGTAGAGTCTTCTTGAGGGATGTATGCAAGAAAAAGCATGTTAATGTCCTGAAAAAGGGCCGAGAACTAGGCCAAAGTAGCTACATCATACTCAGTCCCATTTAGCCTATTGTTATGGTATCATCATCATCATCATCATCATCATCATCATCATCATCATCATCAGGTTTGATTATTTCAATGTATATAATAAGACATGTACTTACAGCGATATCTTGTCGTCTCACTCTGTCATGCGGCGATAGCTCTTCTATGGAATTGTCTTTAGTACCTGTATAAAAGTCATTGTGTTAGTTGCAGCAATGTGTAGCTGGAAAGTTCGGGATGCCGTGGGAACAAGGGCAAAAGAAAGAGCGCTTTCCTGAAGCTCTTTAGCCTGGGCAGCTGGCGGTATTGTGTGATTAAAGTTTTGGCGGCGGAGCCGCGATGCAAAAAAAGGAGTGGGGACGAGGCGTTTGAAATAGAAGCTCTTAGACTCGATGTAGTTTGCGAACAGCTGACGTATTTCTGGTCGTCGCTTCTCTCCTTCCGAAAAGGAGGGAGAGAAGCGACGACCGGAAATACGTCTGCTATTCGCAGGCTAACTCGATGAGGCCTCTTTCACAGTTCAGTTTCCTTTCAGTTTTTTTACTTGTCAATTAACCTAACTTTTTCGTTGAGTTTATAAAGTTTATGTTGATTGATTGTTAAACAGCTGCGCTACTTTCTTGTTTGGCACACTTTTCACTACTATCGGACTAATGATTTGAGACAAACCGCAATTCAAGCAGGCGTTCGCAATTTAATTCTAAGCTACTATAAAAAATCACACCTCAAGCGTGTAGTAACTCTGCAAAGAAAAATAAGGGACTGCTCGCAATCTACCACCGTCAAGAATCGTAACGTCAAGGTAGAATATTTTCTGCGGCCAGAGATGAAAATACTTTGTATTTCAAGTGCGCTAATTACATCACGCCTTGAATTTCACTCGTAATTGTTGCAACAACACATTTATCTCATTTCCTATCATCAAACTCATGGTGTTGGAACTCCCCAAGAAGATTTATCTTGGACAAGGCATGATCACAGCATGATCAACTCTCTCTTGACATTATACTGCAGTTAAAAACCCATTACTTAATGGTGATGATGCTCACAGATAGATCTTTGTCCCAATTTGTAAAGCGCATTGTATCCATTTAAACAATGTGCCCTCTGACACAAAACCAAACACATTATGTCTCAGATAAAACAACTGCCCTTATTCCTGCAATATGTATGATAATGTTTCTGCTTTGCTTGAATTATTCTGCACGCCTGCTAATCCGCGTTAGCAAATTTAATTTGATCAAGTGCTGGTCACTACAGATCACAGAAAAAAATTACTTGAGAAATTGTTAACTGTAACATATTTTTGATTCCATCTCTAAACTTACCAAGGATGCCTTGACCTTCAACTGTTATCCAAGTTAGCGTTGCAGTGCAAAGCCACAAAAGCACACGGCCACCTTTAAATGCCATTGCAGTTGCGCGATAAAAACTCGGTCTTATGAGGGTGGATTTGAAGAAACTTTAGTTGAACTGTCGATGACGCAAGCGACAGAAAGATAGGGCCCGCGTAAGCGCATGAAGAGCACGCTGGATGTCCAAGAGGCCAAATCTGTCACATTTCTTGCGAGCAGCAACAAAGGATTAACTGTGCGCCGTTATCAGTAGTCGTGCGATGTAATTTGAGTTATAAATGCTTTTATACTGGGGTCAGATCCAATAGGCTTTCGGTGACGGAAAAAAAATCCTAAAACTCTAAAACCATTGATTCGCGGCCGGGGTCGTATACCCTCTGAAACTAATTAATAATTAATAAACACAATACGGAGGAAATTAATATTTATTGACTGTTTGGAAACCAGATGAAACATTCCTCGTTTTTGCGTTCTTTATATCCGCGCGCGCGCTTTATATATTCCTGCGTGCCATAACCACAGAAATGTTTTGCTCTGGGTTAAGGGTTAAGTACTATTATCCTAATATATTTTATAAGTAGAAATAACTCAGTTGTTGCTCTGATTGTACACTTTAAACATGTGCTTTAGTTCTGTGTTCAGTCGCTGCATGGATTCCTCGCCAGATAGGAGTGTTAGTTTCTCAGAGCTCGCCGACACTTTACTACAAATTTGACATATAACAAATCAGCCGGAACATGTTTCTGACACACCATTTAAAACGAATCTTTACGTGAGACTGCATGTCAATTTCCATAGAAGACATGAATGTACACAACATTTATTAAAGGACAGAGTCGGGTAAAGTGCAATCATAAGTCAGAAAAGCTATGTCGTTGACTTCATTCACGGGAGAAACGTTTCAAAGTTAACCAGCGGGGAACAAGCCACTTCAGTCCACTACTTACCGAAAACTCGGAAGTGGAAACGGACTAAATAAACTGATAGCCATTTTTCACCAATGAAATAAAAAAAATGGCCTGCAAACGCGTCAATACGACCATGACCGTGAACTGAACTCGCTGGAGGTATTCCCCAAGGCGAAATCCCCTTTTGCCACGTTAGGCATCCATTACACGCGAGTTCTTCAAAACGTTCAAGCGTTCTGCAATCTTTTATGGCCAAATGAAAGCTTATCACTTTTTGATTGTATCAAATTTTGATACAGCCTGCATTTAAGAATTTCCGCTCTCTACTTTCCAATCTCCCACTCGCAGGACCAGTTGACAAGGGAGTGCTTAGGTAGGGGAGCGCAAGAGATGACGAGAAGGCAAAGGGGGCAAAATTAGATAACGTACCTCTCCCGCTTCCTCAACAAGCGCTCTATTTCCGCAAATGAAGCCTTTATTTCAAAGCGAGGCTAAGCGGGAAGCTATTGATTGGAAAATGATTTTTTATTCACTGAGTTTCACACTGCGGAAAGGTTTTGCACTTAGCCTCGTTTTGAAAATGAGAGTTTTCGGACCTTGGAAGGTCTATACCAGCCTCGTCCCCAGGGCTTTTCCCTCAATAAATCATTTTTTGAGGGAAAAGCCCTGGGGACGAGGTTGGGCCTATATTGAAGCCAACTGTGGAATTAGTTTTCCCAGATGCTTGTTTTCCTCAATATTTGGTGACTGTAAGAGAATTGATGTATAAATTTTCTTGACCTGTGAAGTGCTTGGTCAGAGATTTTTTAAATGTGATTGACCGACTCTCTTGAAAGAGGTAGACGGGTATCTAAACGGCTTACGTTGTAGACAAGGTACCAATTTCTTGAAGTCACTCAGTTCATGAACCGAGCCACATAAGGTATACAAACACTGAAAAACGTTTTTCCTGAAAACCAGCTGTTTGTTATCACTGCCCAATAGAGACCCAAATCACAAAGAACTAGTGGTTTTAGGACCCCTTTGTAATCCTTTTTTCCCACAACTATTAGTAACTATCAATTAGCCCAATAAAAAAGGCCTGTAATAAGCAAAATGTCAGTCGGTTCATCGCAGTTCTCAGATGATGTGTTACTGCCCAGCATCAGGAGTGCTCGCAGCCTCATAGTTACAATCTGGGTCAGTCTCAGTACAACAGAGCACAAAAACATACTGCTTTGTGCTCACCAAATGTATTGCCGAATGTTCACCGAGTCACAGTCTTGGGGACTGTTTTAAATGGTTAATTCAATATTAAAATATTATATACGGAAATTACTCCCTTCTTCATAAAAAATACTGTATAACCATTGGCTGAAGTACTGTAAATTTGCCTTGGTAATATTCCTTAGCCTTGGCCTTAACGTCGGCCGTGTACATGACATGTCACGCGAGGTTTCGCCATTAGCATTTTTTCAGAGAATGTAAAATGATTTCATTGATCATTGTCTCTCCAACGGAGTGTCCGTTGGAGAGACCAAAGCCTTGAAAAACTGTATTCAGTCTTCTTTCCTCATCAGCCTTCACGGAAGAAAAATCGGAACAACACGTGATCAACGAGTGCGCCCAGTTAAAAACCCCACGTGGTTTACTAAATCGATTTCTTGCCAGAAGTTTCTTGATCACTTTATTCACGTTTATTCGTCGTTTCCATCCGTCATAAGTCGTGGTTCCAAGTGTTCTTGTGTTATTTTCGAGAAGCTGTTTGAGGTCTTTAGAGGTTAATGACCTCTTAAATCGCTGTTAAGCTACAAACAGGACATACAAAAATGCATCGAAGTGGAAATGAACGTCCTGTAGGTGTAATCCAACGGAGAAGACTGTCGCGGTGAGCTAGCGAATAACCGACACAGTACAGCTACTCAGAAGTATTGTCACGGATTGTCATCGATCAAAAATGGCGGCTAGTATTTACGATAATAGAAGGCAAGGAATACAGAGCAAAGGAAAAAGAGATTTAGTACGTTTCGCTTTGAGCGGGCTTTCATGCATGTGTGCTGCTACTGGTAAGCTATTGTATTTCAATATTTGTAGCTTACGTAAGCTTTTATTTGAAAATCTTCGCGGTCTTCGATTTTTGGAAGGAACAAGTTGTCTGTTTGACCAATGAATAAGGCACAGAAAAGGAATTTTGGAGTGTTATAAACATTGTTGTGGACAAGTAACTTGGTAAAATCACAATGTACGAAAACAATGTAGGGGAATATATTCGGGAATTTTCCGGCTGATCCAATCTCAGTCTCGGTATCTGTTCCCTGTGCTTTACACACTTTGAGTTTTTCGAATATCTGGTTCTATCGACTGCTCTTTCCTCGTATAACTGAAAGTTTGAAAACCGCTCCTAGATTTTAGGGAGGGAATAGTAAATTTGGCACATCAAATTAATCTCGATCGACTTCCGTTTGTAACTTAATTTGCATTCTATTGCATCATGTCATGTTAGGTCATTTTTGTTCTGTTTGTACACTTTTACATTCAAAAATTTGCTTGATTAGCTTCATTTTCCTTTAAGCGGTAGCATTCCATACGTATATCAGAAAACTTTCCTGTTGATTTCAAAAATCGACGTAATAAAACAATTTTTCTGTGAAAATTTGGCGAGTAATAATATTAGTTAATTCAACGAGCTCCCAGGGGCTCGTTTCTCGAAAATGTTAATCCCGGTAACTTTTCGGACCCGAAATCAAATATTCAAATCGACATATAAGAATAAGAGCGCGGGTCCTGGTTAGCAAACTACTCCATTTTGTTTGATTAACTAATAGTTTTATCATGTTAGATGCAAAACTATTGAAACCTCTATCTTGCATGCTTTAATGGCCTGTTATTTATTGGGACTTTGGAGAAATGAGCCCCTGCAGGTCACATATTTGCATGCTAAGAGCAACAATGGCCGTTTTGTTTCATATGTCGCTTTCTACTGGTAGCTGGAATTTTGGAAATTTTCCCTGGTCAGTGACGCGAGCATATTGATTATAAACATATCATGGTCCTCACTATTGACGCAAGTAAAAGCATGAGCGACAAAAGGTTATGCTCTTGTAAGAATATTAAAACCTTGCATTCTTTTGACTATGCTTGTGTCTTGGCTAAAACAATTTTAACATAATGTCGTTTAAATTTAGTATTGCTTTGTTTACATTCTTTCAGTTACAAACCCTATTGATGTGATCAAGACTCGTATGCAACTGGATAATGAATTAGGCTCCCAGCACGAGAGCAGAAACATTTTTCATAATCGTTATTACCGTGGTTTAGTGAGAGGTGCTATGAGAATTGCTCATGAAGAAGGGTTACAAGGTCTTTATAGAGGGTAGGTTACTTTATTTCTATGCTGGAGACTTTGGTTTGTTAACTTAGGGTGCTTTCCAAAAGTCAGAACTGGCTGCACCGGTCATTTTTAAAATAAAATTGAAGTTTTTCTTGAAATTATCCCTTAAACACACCACTGCCAACCAAACCACTTATAAATAGACTAACCTGGTTTGATAGTGGTGATTATTAGTGGAATTCTCTTTACAACTGAACCCGTCTGACCAGCAAAATTAATGGAAAGTGCCTTTTTGCTTATCCTGGGGGAGGGGAGGGGATTCCAATAGGTGAGCTATAATTTATTGTGTGGATATGTTTTTTGCCTTTGACTCTGGAGCAGGGTATAAAAATCACCCTTTAAATCTGGAAGAGGGGTACATGTATGTATATATATATATATATATATATATATATATATTTTACTTCGGTTTGACTTGTAACAGGGTTAGTTTCCCCCCATTATTACCCCCATTATACTTGATCAAGCTTTGGTGTGAAACTGCATTCCCCTCTTTGTCTGAGTGAGCACTTTTTTGCACTTCTTTCCTGTCTTTGTTCTCCAGAATCACTCCCTCCTTGATGAGAGAAGCTTCATATAGTACTCTGAGACTAGGTTTATATGAACCACTTAAAGAATTGTTTGGAGCAAAAGATCGTGCCCACACACCTCTCTGGAAAAAAATCTGTTCTGGTGCAATCTCTGGGGCTATAGGGAGTGCAATAGCGTGTCCCACAGATGTTGTGAAAATACGTCTGATGGCAGTACCCTCAGGAAATCGGTGGGAATATAGACATACAC